CTCTTGCGGGGGTGCAATTAGTGCCAGCATCGTCCGTTAAGAGTTTGGGTGTAATCTTCGATACCTCCCTCTCTATGGAGGCGCAGATTACAGCTATAACAAAGGCGGCATTTTTTCATCTCCGCCAAGCTAAGCAGTTGGCTCCTTATCTCTCTCGCCCTGACCTAGCCACTGTGATCCACGCGACGGTCACCTCCAGACTGGATTATTGTAACTCGCTCTACGTGGGGCTGCCCTTGAGACTGACCCAGAAACTCCAGCGATTGCAGAATGCCGCGGCGAGACTCCTTATGGGGTCTTCGCTGCGAGATCATATCCATCCGGTACTATACCAGCTGCACTGGCTCCCGGTGGAGTACAGGATCAGGTTTAAGGTGCTGGTTTTAACCTTTAAAGCCCTATACGGCCTAGGACCCTCGTACCTACGGGACCACCTCTCCTGGTATGTCCCACAGAGAAATTTACGGTCTGCAAATAAAAACATCCTAAAGATCCCAGGCCACAGAGAGGTGAGGCTGGCCTCAACTAGAGCCAGGGCTTTCTCGGCCGCGGCTCCAATCTGGTGGAACGCTCTGTCACAAGAGACAAGGGCCCTGCAGGACCTGACATCCTTCCGCAGGGCCTGCAAGACAGAGCTGTTCCACCAGGCCTTTGGTCAGGGCGCAGCCTGACCCCCTCCTCTGGCAATCTGCACAGAATTTTGCTTGATGGTTGCCATTAATTTGATTTTAATTTGATTTTATTAATTTTATAATGAATGTTTTTAGAATGTCGGACTATTTTGATTGTTGTTAGCCGCCCTGAGCCCAGCTTCGGCTGGGGAGGGCGGGATATAAATAAAATTTATTATTATTATTATTATTAATTGCTTTTTTTAACGAAAGCTGTACAAGCAAGTTATAACCTTATAATTGTGACTATTATCTGAGCGAACTATTATTTCTTAGGTGGAAGCAAAAATAATAATAATTACAATGCAATCCTATAAATACGAATCATTGAGTTCAGTTGGACTTCCCTCCCTGATAAGTGGATGCAGGATGCAGGGTGGAGGAGGGTTATGTCTCCCTTCCCCAGTGTGATTGGAACAATCACGCATGCACACGCACACAGCAGGCGCCTTGGGGCGGGAGCTGTTCCTTATTCCCACCAGTGATGGTTCCCCCCCACCACCACCACCACCAAAAAAGGCTTGTAGCTGAGGGCAGGGAGAGAGCTTGTTCATTCCAGTCATGTGAGGATGGAAGAGATAGGCCTTCCCTCTCTGCATGCTGCCTTGCTGATAAGGAATCACCCTCATGCCTATGACTTGGAAAAGTCTGGATAGGTAGCTACACACAAAGGCTATGCACACATTACCCACTTAAAACACTCAATTCCCCACTGCTGTGTTTCAAATTGCACGTCATTTATTTATTATATTTTATTGCATTTATATCTCACGTTTTCTCCAAACAGCTCAAGGTGGTCTACATTTAATCCCCACAACCACCCTGTGAGGTAGGTTAGGCTGAGAAGCAGTGACTGGCCCAAGGTCATCCAGTAAGCTTCATGGTTTAGTAGGGATTTTTCAACTGTGCTCTCCAGGGTCTTGGTTTAGCACTCTAACCACTACACTGGGCCTATTGTGCACATCAGTATGGATGAATGTGTTTCCAAGCTGCCCTCTGCCTGACCACAGCAGTGGATGGAGAGGGTGTGCGGCTGTCGTCACATGGCTTACGTTTTCAAGTTGGATCAAAGCTGGTATGGGAGCAAACAACGTCAAAACACAGTATTTCTCAAGTAAGTGCAGGACTGATGCGGGTTGTGGCTGATGTCATGTGTGCACAGCTTCACAAACCAGTGGTGGGAGCACACTGGATGCTGAGTAAATGGGACAGTCTGTGTATCTAGCGAATATCTAGTAGGTATGTGCTGAAACTCAGCCTGCTAGATAAGGTGCCTGCTTAGCAGATGTACAAAAAGCACATCTTCCATTTGTCAGAAACTGGAAAGCGGGGTGGCTTCAGAAATCATGAAGCAGTGAACATGGATGTACTAGTGATTCCAAACACTTCTTCAATGTAATGCCTGCACACAAAAACACACTCCTCTCTTAAACAGTAAGATGCATCTGCTTCCCTCGCTCCCCACATTCACATCAGTGCTTGCCACTCTATTGTAGCAAAAGTAGCAGGAACAAGCAGCACAAACAGAGCAAGAGATTCCAATTGCACTGCACTGAGGGTTTTTAACACTGTCCATGCAGTGTTCTTCTGCTGTAAGATACATGATTTCCTATGCTTCAGAAGGGACATTCCCTCATCTTCTTTCACGACAATTTTCACTCACTTTTTACAGGACAAAGAGAGGGCATTCCACATTGAAACCTCCGTTGTGGATGCACCCAGCGATCATTCCTTTCCCTTTGTAAGCCAACTGGGTTATTGCATTGTTTGCTTCTTTAAAATGCCACCTCTCCTTAGAGCTTCTTCCTTAGAAATTAGTTGGTTAAGAGCCTCTGTCAATCACTGATCTGTCTTCAGTGATGGATTGGAAAATCCTTTAATGAGTTTTCAAAGCACTTGTCAAAGCTACTGTCTAGATAGTAGCTCAGTGGTAACACAACAGGGAGCAGGAGAGACAGTTGCAGTCTTTAATTATATTCCACCCATAGCTTTGTACAGCTTTATATCCCAGTCATTAGCTATATGCGTTGGACTGTGCCTACACAGTTTTAGTGTTAGGCTCTTTTAATGTTAGTTGGGTGGGTTTTCTAAAGTGCATTTGAAAGGTACAGTGGAGGTAATGACCGTTGCTCAACTGGACTTAGTCTTTTAAGTCTCGCCACATTATCACTTACTTAACTTTCATTTTTGCAAAACTTCTTTCATGCATCTGGTTCAACGGTTTCAAAAAATTGTTGATATCAAATATGTCTTCTCCCTTTCCTGCTATTTAAGAGCTATTTTATAGTCTCATCTTTGTGGAATGTAAGATGATGAAGCAAAAAAGACTTGGCATATTTGGAGTATATTCGGACAAACTGTGCGCCTCAGTGTATCAAGGGGAGATTCAGATACTTTGGGGCTTACTTGGTCTCTGGTCTTCCCCATCAACATAGAAGCATGTTTGCAAAGCGGGATACCGTGTCTGATTTCACCAATGCCCTTTACAGAAGTGTGATGATAAAAATTTGACATCCCACATTCCGTGAATCTCTCTGTGTACTGGACACCTGAACATGCATATATGAATTGCACAAAGACTTGGGTGTTTTGTAAGAAATACAGGGGAGATAATTTCACAGTGCCTCTACCTGTGAAACTAGTTTTTGTGTGTGTGTTTTAAAGACGGGTTTACCTAGTGTGTTCTGTAATTGCTGTTGTGATTATTTTGTCAAAGAGGTATTTATACCACAAGTGCTTTATTATAGGACAAAGCTACAGAAATCTGGAGAGATTTCAGGGAGCTTTAAATGCATAATTGCTTTGAAAACTCTAATTGGGATAGTTATCCTGAAGCTACAATTCTGCAATCCAGTATTGGCTGAATGTGGATATATTTATTTGGTCTTCAGTTTTAGATCATTTTTTAAAAAAAATAATTCAAGCCCAGATGGGCTTTTGTAGTTTCACTTTTCATTCTTAAAATGTAAATTTATAAAAGAAGAATAGTCAAAATTACATAAACATTCTTACATGTTACTGTTGAAAAGCCAATAGGAAATCCAGCTGTTTTAGTATGGTAACAATTTTATACATTGTTGCTTGACTCAAGCAGCTGCTACTCCTCCACTTCAGAAGTCTTGCAGGCAAAATATAGGAAGAAGTATGTATCTAAAAAGCCATGGACTTAGATGCAAGACAGCCTTAAAAAATTAACAATAACACAATTTGGTCACAGAAGACATTTCTCTGTGCAGTGGAAGTGTGTATCATATATTGATCTTCCAGGAAAGCCTGCTTTCTATTCCATCAACATCTGAGGTATGGTTGGTGGCATAAGGGACAATGGCTCCTTGATTGTGGTACCCAGAGTTTGGAGTTCCACACTTTGGGTGATCCAGTTGCCTTCCTTTCTCTGTGTATTTTGGCACTGCATAAAAACAAAATTGTTTAATCATGCATCAAGAGGATATCTGTGGTAATTTGGTATTGGTTTGCCGGTCTGTTAATGCAACTTTTTTCTGTTTTTGCTTTTATTTCCCTATGGGTTTTATTGGCATTGTTTTTGTTATGATTTTTTATTTCCTTTTACACAAAAGAAATGTGGGCCATTAAGTATTGCAAGAAAGAAATAAACCTGCACATGAATCGTTGTGAGTTTTTTCACGATATATACACTTGCCAGGAAGTTACAAGTGGTTTCAGTTTCCTAGCATTTGTATACATGTAGAAAAACTAGAGATTGCACATTCCTTTCATGGAAGTACTTCCCTTGATGTTACTTCATAGCGTTGGAACCAGGCATGAGATTGCAGAAGATGGAGAACAGAGCAATGGGGAATTCTAGAGAAGTAGATCGAAAGGCAAAACAATCCAGGGGAGGAACTGTCCTTAATCAGAAGACTGTTTTAAAGTTCAGGAGACATAGCAAGCCTTGCCAACCGGTTGTGTTCTCATAAGGCTCCTGAGATGCTGCAGACAAAGAGCTGAGGCTGAGGTGGTTGCTTGCCCAAGATCCATCCACTGAGCAATCCAGCACACTGGCTTGGGGAAGAATTTGAGGAAACAGTAACACACATAGTTAAGAATACACGAAAGAGCAACCAGTGGTCAGAGCTCAGGGGTATGACACTACACTTTGCATGTAGAAGATCCCAGATATTTCCCACTCAAAAAAACAGTGAGGAAAGGCCACTCAATGCCTTGGACCGTGAAAGCGTCTTCCAATTAGAATAGGCAGTACTTGGCTCAATACAAGGCATCTTCTCTCATTTAAGATCAGATTGTAGGAGCTAAGTTGGAATTTGGGGGATGTGAGAATTTGGCTTTAACATTCTTTTCTTATTTCAGGTGAGCAGGAGCCAGCCGTCAGTAGCGATTCAGATATTTCATTGATCATGGCAATGGAGGTTGGACTCTCTGATGTAGAGCTTTCTACTGACCAAGACTGCGAAGAGGTGAAATCCTGAAAAAGCAGCTCAAAAGACCCTTCCACTAAACTAAAGGGCAGTAGTGGGGAGGGGAAGGAAAAGAATTAAGTTCTGTCAGATTTGGACCACTGGTGTACACATGCATTCTCATTCACACATGTACACACATACACACACACACACACGTAACCATACACACGTCCAGAACGTTTTGTGAACTCCAGTACGCTCCATTCTAGGATGGTCATGAAAAGCAATAGCAACAGACGTGTCTGCTTGGATGCAATTTCATCATTAACTCGGTGTGTCCATTTCACTGACACTGGAAGGTGATCAGAAGAGTTATTCACCTCCTTGGTGGTTCGTAATGATGTAACTGAAATGACAGCTGTTGTGTTTTCTACCTTTCTTCAGTCCCTGGTTGTTGTTGTTTTTTTAAGCAGAAGAAAGCACTCCAAGGTGATTATTTATAGCTGGTTTCGGATGGACATGTCTTTCTTCCTCTCAACACCCCCCCCCCCAGCTTTTTCAAAAGTTCAGCCCAGAAATCTGAATAATTTATGGGTCACCAAGTTAGTGAATAAGGTAAACATTGCTTTGGAAAGAAATGGTGCTTCAGAGCAGTGTCTTGGTCTGAAGCTTCTTTTCATTGTGGTTTTAGTGGGATTTGGAGATTTGTGCTTCCAGGTCTCCCAGCCAGGAGATAGGTGACTGGATTTACTGAAGTTGGTGACTTGCTACTTAATGTTATTAGTTCGCATTCAGAGTTTCATGGCTTGCACATATGATACCAAGTGGGAGAAGATGAAGATGATAATAATGGGATTAAAAGTCAGTCTGTTCTTGCAGCCTATTTGCTATATTTTCTGTAATCACAAATCTCTTATTCCTTAATGGTCTTCCCTATGATTAGTATGTAATGAGATTCACTCCCCCCCCCCCTTTCTTCTTCAGAGGTATTTCACTCAGATTTCCTTCTGGCCATCAGAGCACTGAAGTTCATTGAAACTCTTTGTGGTAAGGGGGAAAGAGAACAGAAATTTCTGGAAGTGTGGGGGAAGGAGCTAGGTGATGTTGGCCATAATAGGAAAGTTACAAATGGACTGAGGCCATTTTTTGCATAACCACCTTTACCACCACCAACACTCTAGTTCACTCTTGCTTCCTCTGTTCATAGGTGAAAACACTTCCTACTTCCAAGGTCCCTTTCAGTCAATAGGGGTAAGAATGTGCACACTCTCCATCAGATGTACAGCTCTGTGCTCATTCTGCTAGATGAAGGGCCAATCCTCCAATTCAGGTAGAGGACATGTGTTCATGGGTGACAGCAAAAGCACACGAGGGCTGAGATGATTCCCCGCATAACCTTTAGTCAAATGAAAAACTAGCACATTCAGACCTGCATTGAAGCAATTCGCTAGTGTGCGCAAACAGTGGGAAAGAGGCTCAGAGGCACTGAGGCACTTTTACTGGCATGTGTGAAAAGATACTCTCACAAAGTGTTCTGTTGTTGTTCCTGGTATGGAAGTCAACTCTTGCTCCCTGGCTTCTGAACTCACTTGGATGTAGATCCCCAGTGGGTTAAAGAAAATGATGAGGCTCTTCTTCCCATGTCATATTTTTGAATTGTAATAGAAACCTGAAACATTCCAAAATGAATTAACTGTCGGTTTCAACTGCATATGTTGAAAAGGGTTGCCATTAAACTGCTGGGACTCAAGAGATCTTGCATTGTGCTGTAGTTTCAGGGGATTTGCTATTGATGCAGAGGGCAATTGTATATTTCAATCAAAATACTTCAGCGTTAAGGAGGACTTTTCAGCTTGTTGTATTTCATAAAAGGGTACGCTATTACTCTTGACAGTATGAACAGTGATTTAAATTGTGGTAGGTAAATAGGCTTAGCACTGTAGCCTGTGCTAAAAAAAATGCAATAGAAACAGAATCTATTAGAATTCCTGCATTAGAGTAGTACTATAAGGATTGTTCAGATATACGTAATGCCATCTGCCCAGTGCACTTTGCGAACAGGTCCTGTACTCACATTCTCCCACCCACTCAGTGGCTAGATTTTGTAGGGCCTGGCAAAATGGCTACACCAGCTACCTCGCTCTTCATTTCCTGAGGGGAACCTTGCAGTGGGTGGTAGGAGCTGAATGTCTACCCTGAGAAGAGGGGAATACACGCCTAAGGGGCTTATTCATGTAGCACCATGAATTTGGTTTGGTGTTCCATCTGAAGCAACCCTAAGTGTTACTATGGAGCTGTTGTAATTCTCCTATATAGAGCATTGCTTTCAGTGAGCTTTAAATCACTTTGAAAGATCATGCTTGCCTCATCGTGTTGAAGGCTTATTATGTGTGGGAAGGTGGGCACCTTCAAAAAAAAAAGCAAAAAGCTGCCATCTTCTACTTACTTCTTTCATAATCTCATTTAAATTGAGCCAAAATAAATGTGTGAGGATAAATTGAGACTTATGTTTATTGCTGTTTCAGGCCAACTTCAGACTGAGAGGGTCAAGCTTTCAAATTAGTCTTTTCATACCTCCAGTAGTTAAGGAGAGGAGAGAATTTTGGCAGGTGTAACTTACATCGCAGCTCTACCAGGTTTTGTAAAGCTGCACCTGTGAAAACAAACTCAGTTATCCCAACTGTTAAAAATGTAGGAACCGTAAGATGGAAGCATTTGCCATCTCTGCTCTGGAATTCACATTTCCCTGTGCTCCAGTGTGGTTGGGCATGCGTTTTGGGGAGAGGTCCATCTTCAATTTCAATTTATTATTTCTGAGGCACGTCAGGAATATCATATTCAGTTAGAAAGAAGCAAAGCGCAGTCCTAATCTAGTGGAGCCACCTTTTAATGTGGGTTTTCTATACAGCCCCTATTGACCCTATATTGCTATGTGGCTCGCATGAATATAACAAGATCGCAAATAGTATGTATCCATCTAGCTGTGCTGTAAGTTGTACTCCTTTTATAACCTCTTACCATGCATCCAGAGTTGCAGTGGCAAAAGCTGGCTTCGACCCAGTGAATCTTCCTGCCTCTGTTCCTCCCCCGTCTCTTCTGTAATTTCTGTGCTATCTGATAGCTTTGAGCACCACTTTTATGTCACTTCAAGTATTGGAGGTTGTTACTGCTGCATCCACTAATGCTTGGTTGACAGAACAGCATGAGTTGTGTCACCTCACCAAAGCTACCACCCTTTCAGCTTATTCTGCCTAGTTGCCCATGTAGAAGTGACAGGGAGGAAAAGGCTAATGGCCAACTCCCAATTAACAACATATTCATCCATCTCATTTCCCCGCCAAAAAAATGTAGAAATGTAGAATCCACAAAGAGTACAAACCATAATTCTGGAAACATTGGTTCTTTTGACATGCATCTTCTGCTTTAGGAAGCTGCCTTGTAGCAGGTCAGATTGTTTGTCTATCTGGCCCATTATAGACTATTCTTGACTGGCAGTGGCTGTCCGGGGTCTCAGGCAAAGGTGATTTCAGTTAACTGCTACCTGCTCTTCCTAGGAATTGAACCTGGAAACTTCTGCATGCAAAGGATGTGCTCTGCACCCTTTCTTTGAGAGATCCTTCAGGGATAATTTGTTATTATAGTACAGGAACCAGGCCTTTATTTACTGGAGGATGGAAGCCTTTAAACTGATATGGAAATAGCAAAAACAAAACAGAATAGTCCTGGAAAATCAGTTAAATGTCACCTATACTTCAGAGGTTTTTTCAGACCCTTGTATCCAAAGGAGAGATTCCAGCCTTGTAAGTGACTGAATTACAGCATGGATCAATTAGGACTGAAAATAGAAGGCTGAAAGGAAGCTCAAAGGTGCTTGGGTGCCTCCTCCTTCCAGACAGACTCTAGCCTCAGAATGCCTAGGAGGCAGCAGCCATCATGTGAACAGGGGAGTATGATTTGCATTGAATATCTTTGCTGTACGACAGGTATGGGGAACCTTTGGCAGAACTACAACTCCCATCAGTCCTAGCAAGCATTGCCAATGGCCAAGGATGATGGGAGTTGTAATTCAGCAATATCTGGAGGGCCAAAGTTTCCCCAGATCTGCTGTACAGGAATAACTTTATCATTAGTCAGAGTGAGACAGCTGCTGAGGTACAGGGAGATGTGGCAAGGTGTTGTGCCTGCTCCACGTGGCCTGCCCTTCCCCCTCCTAAGCCAACCTGCTGTTCTCAGGTGCAGTGGAAGCTTCTGTCCCTCTCCCAGCATTGAGGTCAGATTCAGCTGCCGGTGTAATCAGCTTTTGTGATTGAGGAGAGGTGCCATCTTTTCCTTCAGCTGTTGCTACATCAAGATTTGAGTGTGAGAAATCTCCCCCAAAGTCATATGATCTTTGCCATTTGATCAAATGCCCCAAGCCCAGGATCGTGGTTCTCTACCAATGTATAGCTCTATTGTCTTCACCAGTGTTAAGAATAGGTACCATTTTAACTTTGACCTTCCAGTATTCCCTCCCAGACCTTGCTATATGAATATGGCTAGAGGTGTTTGCATTGCACAGTATAAAGGCAGCGAACAACCCGAAGTTTTGCCCAGGAGTTCAGTTAGAATTCAAGCCCTCAACTTTCTTCCTCCAGTATTTCTACGCTGCCATCAATAGAAACCACCTCACAGACATTAACAGCAGTGTCACTGCCATGGTCAGTCACCTAGAGTGTGCCTTTACCAAGAAACACATGGCATGGCCTGAGAACAGGCACCTTCTACGGCAGCCTGGCTGGGCTATTCCTGTACCACCCTGAAGGCAGCTGGAGAAGAAGCCCTATTTTTGATCAGCTGTGGGACGGCTTCTCTTGGCAACAAGAGGAACCAGCCTAAAAGATACAAAAGGATCGGGCAGTTCAGGAAATGTAATGCACACCATGGATACCTTCATAAGCAGATATGATTGGTGGCTGTATTTCATGAGTGTGCAGTCTAGCCCTAAGCATTTCTCCTGGCAAAGAAAGACCTGCTGCATTCTGCAGGGCTTATTCTCAAGAATACATGCATCTACAAGCGGGCCTGTTATAAGTAGGCAGAAGGCAATCCATTAAAGCAAGGGGTTATTTGAGGAAAGGCTGAGCTTAAGTAAAGTTGTTGTTTTTTAATAATAATAATAATAATAATTGGAACAGTTGATACAAAGCAACTTAGTTTATGCAACCGTTTGTCAAAACAAAGAACCTAACTGATAGTTCTGCAGTAGTAACAACGTGAGAGAATTTCTAGTCTAGAAGGGTCTTGGCATACCAGATGGTGTTTGTTAATGCATTGTATAGCAAAGTAGAAGAGCGCCCTCTGCTGCCTGACTTCCAGCCGCCAGAAGCCCACTTTTAATTCTATCATAGATCCAGCAACTGGAAATCTGTCACTGGTAGAAATGTTAATTCTTTAGTGGCCGGGATGTGGGGTGGGGAAAGGATGTACCCGCTTGGCTATAACAATAACGAGACGGGAAAAGGATTGAAGGTGCTGAAAGTGTAATATAGCATCATCTTATGCTCATTTCTCTTCAAAAATATTTTGCTTTCTGGTCAAAACGTTATCTTGCAAAAAGGAATTCAAAGAAGAAAGGACAAAAGAAGGAAGAGGATGCTGTCATCACCCCCTCCCCCTTATTTGCTAATTTTAAAATACTGCCTATTTTTAAAGGCATCAGATGATACACATGTCTTTGCCATGAATGTATATGTATATGGTTATTACAGATGTGAAATATCAAAAGTGTTTTTTAACATGTACATAGTATCACCTTTTCTTCCTGTTTTCATGTTAAGCAACCTGAGGCTATATACCATTTTATAAATAGAATGAAATGTAAACTAGGGGTTGGGGTGGGAAGGGCTGTTATTTTTATAGCAAGATGTTCCTTGTACCTCGTGAGCATTTTAAAATGATTTTGTACTTGTCAAAATATACATTCCATCCATTTCCTGAAAATATTTATTTTTATTTAAAGTAGTTTTTAAACTAAAACAAGACGTCCATTTGGTATAAGGTTCATCCATAACGCTAAAAGTATTTGGTTTACAGTAATTGCTCCAAAGTTCTCTCCTGCCGTGTCATGTAGCAGAATGCACACCATACCAGCAAATGCCAATAATTTTTTTAAAGGTAGATAAATGAATAAAAATACTCATTTTTTGCAGTTATGTTGAAATTATTTCTAGTTACCAAAACAGTGTTTTACAGTAGAACACTCTTAAAACAGTTCATTCTCCTGCTGTTTCCCCCCTGAATTTAGAATGTGTCAGACAAAAATAGTTTGAACAATCAGCCTGCTGTGAAAAGCAGTTGTGTTCACACATGCAAGCTACTCTGCTGTTTATAGCAGAAGTTGGCTGTGTACAGCACTGATTGGCTGGCTCCCTGTGTTATCAAAAGGCCATTTCCTCCATTTGCCAAGCTGTTTATTTCTTTTTTTTATTATTATTTCAATAAATGATTTTGTTCCTTTAAAATAAGTAATACAACCAATTGAATGCTCAATTCAATTAACATTCACAGTGTTCATTAAACACTATAATGTTCACATACATAACAAAACATCCCTGCTTTGACAGTGGAAGCAATTCATCACCTTCTAAATCTCACCTTGAATCGGCTTATAAAGGAGGGGTATGTGTGTGGCAGAAATCATCAAGATTACCCAATGACATTTGCATAGGCATTTTTTTTTTATCTTAACATATTTTGGCAGCTGTGAATTGTCTGCCTATGCGGCGCTGAAATAGTTCTGTGAAGAATTCATTTTACGACACATTCTGTACAGTATTGCAAATGTATTTCAACTGCTAGTGAAGTTGCTGTTACTTTATTATGCATCCTTATATATCCACCCTCCCTTCCAATGCACTTTATATCATTTGGAAAATGTGGGAGTCTGACAACTATCATATATAAAGGGATTTGCCTGAAATCAAGTGGCACAAATATTGATTTTTTAAAATTTTATTTTTAAAAAAACATTACTTTGGTTAATTGTGTCCTCACTGTCCTTTACAGCTTAGACAGTGACTCAGCTGTGGGAGGACATATGGAGATGTTAAGGTTGATATTGGAGAAACATTATTCAGTAGTACAACTGAATGGCTATTTTTGTTATATAGAGGACTATAGTGTAAATATGTGAGACTGTGTTATTCTGTATTAGTAAAATATTGCAACTGTAAAAGTTAAAGGATTGTGAAATTGGAGGAATTTTATTGCAAGCTTTCTTTTTTAATAAAAAACTATCTGATTTGTGTCCTACATTTTCCCTAACAAACGTATTAGGCAAGTGCACAAAGGCTTCTTTTCCAAATGATCTCAGGTTGAATTCTGAAGAGAAACAAAATAATCTGAAGGCACCCACCTCACGAATGCTCACTCCAGCTGCTGCTGCAAATGCAATCTCAAAAGTGTCCACATGAGATGGGAGTTTATCTCTCAACAAATGAAAAATTGAACTGAATGAGGCTCGTTCAGCTCAGTTTTCATATTTTTCCGGCTTCCTATTACCTATTTGGATGGAGTAGTGCAATCATATTTGGAGCAGCAGGAGCTGAGTTTTGTTGCCACTTTCATCCCAGACAGTAATGGGAGTTGTGGAATTCTAGAGCATTCTGGCCAAAAAAGAGTGGTGGCTGCCGTCACAATTTCCCTCAGTGCTGTGCCGAAAATTTATGCAATTTAAATAACCGTTCTCAATGAGAAAAGAAGTTGTATCTGTCAAAGAAGTGAGACAATTTCAGCAAAAGTCTATTGCATGGGCTGCAGTGTTTTTGTTGTGCTAAAATTACTCTCCAGGTTGCCAAGGTGTTGCTTGTTGAGTGTTCTTTCATTTTACAAATGGCATCTCTGGTTGTCTGCACAATTCAGCCTTGCTAGCTGCCCACACTTCCTGAAAAGCCCTTGGTCTCCTCAGCTAGGCTTTCAACTAAGTGCAGAAGAGAAGGACTGTGTAAAGTACTTTTGCTTTTTAAGAAACTGGGGCAGGTTTGTTTAAAAAAATTATTGATTGAATTATTCAATTAAAATCCAGGAGAAGACATAATGATAACTTCACCCTCTGGCCTTTTTCAGATCAGAAAAAACAAGCAGGTGGGAAAGCTGCAGTGAGCACTGGAGAAATATTTGATAGGAAGAAAACACACACACATGCCTATCCCACACAAGTGCATCAGTATCCAAATTGCACACCTATCAAAATCACAAAGAAATTTTCAGGTGCCGCGTGTAAGGCAGAAAAACAGAAGCCTCTTTCACAGGTAAAGAAAAAACAGGAATTGGAGGGCAGGTTTCAACGCAACCCTAGCTTGCCTCTTAGAAATGGCCTGGAGAAAGGCAGCCCCCAAAGTTATCTGTTCCATTGTCAATATCCCTCGTGGTAGCATTATAGAAAGAAAGAAAATTAAATGAATGCCACTGTAATCTTTAACAATACAAATAGCATTGCAAAATAAGCACAGATTCTTGCATACCCTGCATTCCCATTACTGGAATCTTGAAATTCTTTGGCTCAGTAGCTACAGGCAGTGCCATTTGGTGCTTATTACTCCTCGGTCTCTTTTATTTAACACAGATTGCAAGATTTCAGCCTTTTTTTAGAAATACATGTACAAAATTATTTCCCCCCCACATAGAAAATATATATATATATTATTCACAGGGAAAGAGGGGTTCCAACCTGACATGATTCAGCTGCAAGCCTTTTAGTTGAATTTTCAAGCGTAGGTGCTTTCATTCACCGATGTGCAGGAACATTTGATGTTCCTCTGTCTCAAATTAGAGTATCTATGAATCTGCCAGAAGAGACATTAATGTGGTAGCAAGGAAAGGGGATTAAACAATTATATTTTCTACATTTGTTATTGTATTCGAGCTCAGCAACTTAATTTCCCCCCTGGGGCAATGCAAATGGACAGTCACTTCTGTGCCATGAAATTTCCCCACAGGTTGGCCATTGTGAGAACAGGATGCGTGACTAGAAGGGCCATTGGCCTGATCCAGCAGGTCCTTGTTATGTTCTTAAGTCTGCAAAAAGTGAAAATGCCAACAAGATGAATGTTTGCCTTTCCTTAGAACAGTGGTGGGAACAGGCCGTGCTCTAGATGTTGTGGGCTCACTCTTGATCTCCAGGGTGGGCCCACAACATCTGGGGATCACATCCTCTTCTGCGTCGTGTGAAAGGTAGAAAACTGGGTAGACTACGTAGAACAAACTCGGTCTCCTGGAGTTTATGGGGGCCTCAATAGGAAAAAGGTTCCTCACTCCTAGTCAGAGTCCGGACCAAGCTAAGTCTTGTGACCAGCCACAGCCTGATGTTAAAGGCAATTCAGCTACAGTTATTCTTCGTGTGACTGGGAAGCACACTGAATCAGAAACAGGAAGCGCACACATTTCCAGATGTTTCTGCCAATGATGCTGGGACGTCTCCCAATAGCCCTAAAAACGTGTCAGCCACTTGGTGATACAAGAGGCTTCCCCTCCTTAGCATTTTGGTTCCAAGAATGGAAGCAAGTCGCCACGGAAATAAACCCTAGAATTGTCTGGCTTTTTCAAAAGAAATAAGTCACTTGAGTATTATAAGCCATGCCCTGTTCTTGCAGTTGTTCCTGCAGCTTCCCTTTCCTCTCTCCTCGTTGCCTTTTGTTCTTCACATACATTTAAAATACGGTCATGGGAGAAGCCAGCGCCAGCGTTTCTGGCAGGCAGCTGGACCAAGTTGCTATGTGATCTGCACACACAACACAGCTGTCATTGATATTATAGATCTTAAGGGAGGGAATGGTCTCAAATATCTGAAGAGTACATTTTGAAGCTGGGGCGGGGGCAGCATTGAGAGGGGGCGAAAAAGAATGGCATTAGTATCTATAAATAAATACAAAAGGAGGAACTGCCAAGTCCAGAATGAAGGAACAGCTTTTTGAGAATTAAACTACCCCGGCTCGGCTTCTATTGGAAAGCTCTGGCAGTTTGGGGATAAAGACTCAATGTGGGGAAATGATACAATCCTTCCTTTAATTTTATTGAAGCTCAGCTCTGTACATGTCAATATGAGTGTCTCATTTTGATGTAAAGAGCCTGACACTAACCTATTAAAATATCTGCTGCTGATTGCGGAGAGAGATTCTGGTTCAGGACTTAAAGAAGTTCTCCCACTCACTGATTCATGCTAGCTGTATTTTAAAAACTGTTCAGATGGTGACAGCACATTGGCACTGCTATCTGGGTTTGAGAAACCAAAAGTGAGAGCCCCCCATTGGCTGGGAAACTCAGCTCCAGGAACAATATAGCTTATTGCAATTGTGCAAAATGATATGTAAGCAGAGTTTTGCTCTTCATGTCTGCACTTTCCATATGCAGAGCCATGTATACAGAGAGACATTTGAACAGCTGCAACCCTAAGCAAAAGGGTTGGCCAGGTGAAAAAAGAAGGCAGGGCTCGTCCTTTAATAGTTGCGTAGAATATGGATTTTCAGCAGGTGTCGTTTGCATTGCAAGTGGCATCTGTTGAAATGTCCTCATCTAGCAACTATCCAAGGAACAGAAGCAGCATTGAATTTTTTTTCAACTGGCTGCCCCATCCTTAAAACACATTTGAACAGTCTCTGTAAACATGCATAGACTTTAACATAAGCATAGTCTGGTGTACTTTGCTCAGTTAGGTTTTTTAATCCTAAACCAACAATAGCAAATGAAACAGAACCTAGTACACAGGTTGTTTTTGTAAGCAACTGATAATGCCCTCCAACAGTTCAATAGATGAAAACAGCCCAGCACCAAGGCCTGGTGGAATATGGACAAGCAAACGCCATTCTAGTTAAAAATGCATGAAACCAGATGGTTCTAAATGCAAAAGCAGCCAAGCAAGTCAAATACACAAAACACTGGATGCCTGAATAGGAATTTCTCCTGGACTTTGTCTCTGAATGAACATCTAAAAGTTACACTCTTTTTCACAATGCTGCATCTAGATTTTGCGTTCCCACACTGTGGTCCACAGACCATCAGTGGTCCATGAACTTCATTCAAGTGGTCCACAGTGTGCCTGCATTACATATTAATATTGATTCTTAATTGTGTTTTTATTGTTCCTTTTATTTCTTATATTGTACTTTATTGTATTGCAGTTTGAATTCCATAAAATTTAAATACTTCATTTCCCTAAAATATATTATCCTTTGGCCAACAGAAATACTTATCTACACAACATTCATGCAGGTTTCAAGTTTAAATTGGCCCCTTTCATGCTATGCAGGCCTAATAATAATCAGAAAAGAGCAGGTATCTACCCCAGAATCAGAGAGTGGGAGTAGACAGGCCAAGAAGCAGAGAGGAGTCAGGCTGGTGGAGAGTCACGGGTTTCTCCCCCTCCTGCTGCAACAATATTCCCCTGCCCAGCTTCCCAGAACCAGAAGAGGCATGAAAAGAGCAGAGGAGAGGGTGGCTTCATGCAGGTGTAGTCTACAATTGCTTGGGGAAAGCCCTGGAAATGAGGGGACTTTAGACAGCTGTGGGAAGGCAGGGACTGTTGGTCCCTGCAACTAATTCATGAGGCAAGATCTACCAGGGGTGAGCTGCTGGGCTCATTAGGCATGACACTCCACCAAGTCTGTGGAGATAATCATCTTGTTAATAAAGTTAACTCCTATTTGAGCAGTGAATTACTGCCAGCTCACAATATATTTCTTATTATTTGGGTGTGGAATTTGATGAAATTTGCAGGGAAGTTTACCTCTTCCGAGAGGATGAATCCTGCCAAATTTCAGAAAGATGGCAGCAGTTGTTTTCCCACACAGTGAAATAAAAGGAATCACTTAATCTCCCCTAGCATTTTGCCTGAAGTTAGTCTGATGTTTGTATGCATGAGAGAGGTGCCCCCTGAGTAACAACCCTGGCAAACTGCAAAAAAAATTGTTCAGAGGCTTTTGTGTTAGTCACCCTTAAAGTTTATTTTGGGAAGGTAAGAACTAAAAAAGGATTCACTCTGTAGATAAAATTGTCCTATCTGACTAGAAGTTTGACCTCTCAGACCCAAGAGAATATTCTCTCTCTCCCTACTGGGCTCTAGTGTTTGTTCTTCCTTCCCCCCCTTGAGTCACTCCTGGTATTATGGTAAACTTACAGGCATTTATTTTACTTTTAGCAGATGCTTGTCTATAGTATTTTTCATGCATTGGTTGCCAACATGCCACAAAGCATTTTGATTTAAGTGGCCTGATTTGTAGAGAGCCCACTTCACCTTTGTCAAGCCCCAAGTCTCTCAA